CTATACAGCAGTGGAACACTTGCTCTTCTTTGAATTCTTTCTTCAGTTTGCTTCTAGCACATTACTTTCCTTCAGTTAGGTTCCTGGTTTTCTCCCCAGTCCTTCTCAATGTCCTAATGGTCTCTTTTTCTTTCACCTGCCTGTTCAATATTAGTGCTCTTTAGGGGCCACTCCTTGGGTCTCTTCTCCTTCGATCCTCCTCCCCCAGTAGATCCTATCTTTGTCTTCAGCTTCAACTGCATTCACATACAGATGATCACAGTCCATATTTTCAACCCTGCCCCTCAGACCACTTTTACAACTGGTATTTCTGTCCACCTAATGCCCCATAAGCACAACCAACTCAAATATGTATACCCGTGACTGGACTCTCATCCCCCAACTCCCTGTGGCTGACCACAGACCTACTTCTTCCATATGCATCCCTCCGTGTGACCAATTTCAAACTAAACTCAAAGGTTGAAATCCTGTACTTGTCTTTCACTTGTCTTCACAATCCAATCTCAGGTCCTGCTGATTCTTCCTATTTTCACATTTCCCACGGTTGTCACCCTTCCCCACTTTCTATTTTCTTAATTAGACTACAGTAAGATACATCCTGTTCCCACTGTGCCTCCAAAGCAATCCTCCTTGATCCAGTGAGCATGAGCTTTCGGGGTCATGTGTACTTAGTCCAGGTGCCTGCGAGAGTAGTCACTCAATATATGTTAAACAAGTGAATCCATGCTCTCGCTCAACTCAAAGTATTTCAGTGTTTTCCAACACAATGCAAGCACTTCAAAGCCCTTGCCATCGCATACAAGGTCTCTTGTGACTTAGATCTTTCCTACTTCTCCAGTTTCAAACCACTATGCCCTAGAACTACTCTCTATTCCAAGAATAACCAACCATCTACCATTCTCCAAAGCATCTTCCCGTAACTCTGACTTCACATATTTTTCTTCTGTCTGGAATCCTCTTCTCTTCTACCTGGAAAACTCCAACTCCTCCCAGATTTTTAGAGCTTTTGCTTTCTTTCCCTCCATTCTCCTCCCCGTTCCCCCAACATTCTCCATAAACAGCATCATTTTTATAACTGAGGTACTCACTTGCACGTAACAATCTCATACTGGGCTGTAGACTGTAGAGCTGCCGGGGGCGGGGGGGGGGGGCGGGGGCAGAAGGAAGAGAAAGCATTCTCACAGCTCTCCAAAATCATTCCTCTTTCATTTTCAGGAAACCCCTTCCTCCTTTTAAGGGCCATCTAACATCCCAGACCTCGAGATCAGTCTCCCAAGTCTCTGAACTGATCCCCAGTGCATGGTCCTCTTCTCCATCCCAACTCCAACCATCATGCATTAGTGATCATATTGATAGTCCACATATATCCTAGAATGAGTCCCCAGTTCTGATTCCTTTTCTATGGCTGTATTTAGTGACACCACTCAGAACTGCTTCACCTCTAAAATTCTAATCTCCACCCCAAACTTCCTTCTATCCATTACACAATGTCACCTCATTTTATCTTCAAGCTCTACCCCTTCCTATTCACCCAATTTATCAGTGTCTTACTGATCAGACTTCTCTTATAGCCCAGCCCAAATCCCACAGCCAATCTCCAGCAATCTCTAATGGCCTTGTCCTTTAGCCTTTAGACACTCCTACCATCCGAAGCCTGATCCTGGCACGATCCACTCTTCCCCACTCTACATTCTTGGCAGCTGAGCACTGCCGGAGAAAAATGAAAAACTTGGGCTCCTAGCCACTGCAATTAATGATTTCCCATCTCAAACTGGTTTTCAAAGGCATTCCTCAATCTTTTCACTTGGCTTTGGTCAGTGTCATCACTTAGTCTTCCGGATGGTTACTACTAACAAAAATGTGAGACATGACTATGGTAAACAGAGTATCAGAACAATCTCAAGGGTGTTGGATAAAGTATGAGAAGAAAACCAAAGGCCACACATGGTCAAAGCAATTTAGCTCCAATGCTGTATGTCCTTTGGGTTCTAAGTCAATTATTTTTATGGCACTGGGAATACTATTGCTGTCTTCTTATAGATCCTTAGAGTTTGAAAAGTGTGGTGAAGGGTGGACCACTGGTAAAAATGACTGCTTTCAACTCCCCTCTTGCCCCAGGTACCTGTCATACTTACTATACGTCATCAATGACACAAACCAAAGTTTTGTTTTCATTTTAATTTATTCTTTGCAGTTTAAAGTGAAAGTTAAAACATCACACAAACCACAGAAGCTTTAGGTATAGTATTGACCAGTTTTAAAACAAAAACAGTGAATGATCATTTACACACATTCCTTAAGTCTAAATTTACATTTTGTTATATAAAGGTACTATTACCGCACACAAGTCTAATTCCTTATAAACCTATTTGTCAAGCAGCAGGATGACAATGCATCATAGCACAGCACAGAATGTTTCCATTAAGAAACCACAGCAGCAGTATTTGGTGAATGGTTATGCACAGAACTAACCTGGAGGGTAATGTTAAACTCTGGTCATAAGATAGCACACATTAACAAATGGAAAATGTAACTTTTATTAATTTAAGATAAATGTTATTCTTTATGCTTTAAAAGCTACAGGATACTTTAAAAGCAGACCATACAAGTTGCTTTAATTCTAGACTCAGTAACAAAATACTATTCCATTAGTTGCTTGAAAGTCTATAACCTTTGAGTACTGCTCATTGGCTTTTTAAAGTCAACTTCAAATATAAAAGCACTTGAAGTTTACCAGTCAAAAACCTAAAGTTACACTGGCTACATGTTACATTAAAACACACCTTGTAAGAAAGACAGACTTTAAAAAATACTGCATTGTTGACTTAAAATAATTTCAAAATAGGTTGCTCCTAAAAATAAAAATGCACCACTTTAAAATCTTTCAACACATTTTGGTTTAAAATAACATTTTGTGAAATCATTAATATGGTTCACCCACCTCCCGGCAAATATATTCCCACCTTTCAGCAAAGTAACAACTGGAAGTGGTTTTTAAACCTAGTATCATCTAAAGAAATGGGTCAGCACATATGTGAATTAGCTATTCACCAGAAACAATGTATTTAAGGTTTCCACCATGAAAACAACACTACAAAATCCATTGGATGAATTCTACTTTTAGCTTAACGAATATATTAAAAACCTCACTTAACAGTGCCACACTAATATTTAGCGGGTTTTTTTGGCGTTTAAATCAGAGCAATGCAAACCAGTACGTTTGATACAGGCAATTTTCACAAAAGTTTCAGAGGCAAAGAGATGCGGGAATGGTAAATTAGTAAGGAAATCAACAACCCTGCTAGAGTCCTCGATTTTAGAATTTATCCTCAAAAGATGGCATAGTTAATCGCCATCACTGTGAGCATTCAGACAAGACAAATAACTTGTATGTGCTCTTAAATGTTCAGCACCTTCTAAACTTCAAAATTAACCACAGGCGAGTCAGTCTCTGAGAAACTGAAAAGGTACTTGGGAAATTCTGAGTGCAGCTACAAAAGCACTAAAATAGGCAAAGTTACAGAAACATATACCACACAAATAATTCTGTGTTAATATTCTTCTTGCCTTTCTTAGTGGCCTTCGAAATATGTACTATGTTGAGTGTTAACTAGGGGCGGGGGGGGTGCCCAAGAGAAAAATACAAGTTTTAAACAAAGGAATTAGTTTGTAGAATTTTTATATTGGCACCAGTGATTTCTTTTTACTCTCCGAGGAGTTAAAACATGGTAGGGTGTAAGCGATTAACATGCTTTTGGATATATTTCCCAAATAAATAGAACATTTCCTTAAATTCTACTAAAAAAGACATTCTTGAAGCATAAATGTTAGTAAATAATACCAACACATACACCTTTCCATGGATTCTTTGTTGTATTGTGGATGTCCGCTGCAGGCTGTGTGGGGTTACAGAAGCCATCACTCCTTAATACTCAAACAGTATAGAAGCTCACTGGTTATTTAAGGTTTTTCAACAACTATTATTACCCAAACCTAAGGTATTCCCTAAAAAGCAGAATCCACAGCTCAAAGTTTTAGACTATGAAAGATCTAATTAAATATCCTCCCAGTACCAAGAAGGTTTTAGGCATTAATTTTTCTGACGACCGTTTTAATTTGATATCCAGCGAGTATGAAGCACTAAAATGAATGCTTGAAACTTCTGTCACTGTTCTGTTAATCCCTATAGGCACAGAATCACAGAAAAATGCATCCAGTATGGAAATGAAAGATTCTGCCCCACTCTCAGCTGCTGGTTAAAACTAAGCGCATGCTCTGTAAATTCCCTTTCGGTATATCCAAAGGACTAGGCATACCTCAGGAATGCAAGTGGACTGTTGACAAAACCATCAGCACGGAGTATGAGGTATCATAGTTACACACCGTCATAACACAGAGGTGATATCCTGGGATAACTAGTTTTTGAGAAAAAAGGGTAAACACAAAAAAAAAGGAACTTGGGATTCATAAAAGAAATTGGCTTTGCAATTCACTCTTGTACAGAGTGGGTAACACCAAAAAGGAAGGGTCTTTGAATCCATATCTCTTCCCTGGTGAACACTCAGTCCAAAGTTCAGTGAAGACAAACATGGGTACCTGGCAAGTTATTTTCCAGTGAAGCGGGCATTTTCACCCACTCTGTTTTATCCTCGGTACCCAGGACCTCTGAGGTCTTGTCACTGAATTGTCTGGGAAGAAGTACTTTCTGCACAGCACATGCCTTGAGTGTGAAGCCCCCCCATACAAAGGGAGAGACTAATCCTGCTCTTCTGAAGTAGAACTTCTTAGGCTAAGTCACTACTCTAAAATCTTGAATATGTTGCCAAAAAAAAAAAAAAGTATCTCATAGAGGATAACTATTTTATTTTTTTTTTTAAGATTTTATTTATTTGTCAGAGAGAGAGACAGAGCACAAGCAGGGAGAGAGGCAGGCAGAGGGAGAAGCAGGCTCCCCGCTGAGCAGGGAGCCCAATGTGGGACTCGATCCCAGGACCCTGGGATCATGACCTGAGCCGAAGGCAGCCGCTTAACCGACTGAGCCACCCAGGCATCCCGAAGATAACTATTTTAACAGCATTATAAGAGACAGGATTAAGTACCCCAATAAATAATTGCTACCTTACAAGGGAAAATAAATTTACAAACTACTTTTTATCTAAGATACTATCAATTGTAAGATGCACCATATATATAACTAAGAAAAAACACGGGCATTAAACTGACACAATGCTTTCATACTGCGTAGGATGTTTATATTTATTGAAACGGTTTTTTAGAGTGAAGCAGATGTTTAACACATCAATCTTGTGCATACCCAAAAGAAAGTGTATGAAGTTAACTGGTTAGGTTATAACTATCACCTCATATTCTGAGTCCAGCTCTTCTGAATCACTTCTCAAATCACAGCCATGGATGTCTGCTTTCATCCATGTAAGAGCACCCGTGGGGTCATCAAGCGCACTGGGGATACGGTGTTTCTTGAAAGAGTGCTCCACCACCATCTTCCGCTTAATGTCAGCCGAAATTCTGAGCAAAATGAGGTCTGCCACCTTAGAGATAACCCTGCTCGGTGCATGAACCGGTCACACCAGCCTCTGGTTGCTTTGAATTTTGTTTCTTCTATTCCCAGGGTTTTGACGATTTCTCCTGCCTTTGACCGCATTGCTTGGCGCATGACGGGCAACGCTTTCGCATGCATCTCGCTAACAAAACGTAGTACAGCTTCATCCACCTGTGGGTATCTTCCTTTCTTAGGCCCCGTAAAGCACTTTGTTGTTGCTTTACAAGAAAATATGGAATGGCGGTCACTCCTCCAGCGCCAGATATTTGCTTCACTAATTCCCGAACGTTCGCCCTGCTGCCCTGTTTCCATGCTTTTCTGCATACACAATCACTTTTCGTTTCAATGCTGAATCATAGTGCAATCTTTTTGAAGACATCTTTAAATGCCAATTACACCTGACACATTTGGTACCAACAATACAGTGACGAAGCTGTGACAAGCCATTAATAAGTTCCCACCGGCACAGGCTGGGGATAATTACATCACGACCCTCTCCTGGTTCATCACAGTAATCATGAGACACATCCCAATTCTGGACAAGGTAAAATGTGAAAACAAAAACAAAAATACAACATACATTACAGAATTAACAAAATATGGTTTTCTCAAGCCTGTCATGTTTACCAGATTCACACCAGTGCAAGAAAATAAGCCTGGGAGCCAGAGAGTTAAGTATGTAAGTAGAAAGCTAGTGAAGCAAAAGATTATCTTTAAGATGAAATCTGCAATGGTCTGATTTGGTTTTAATTCCCTTTATTTTCATATGGCTTACATATAAATCTTTTTCTTTTAATTGGACTTAACATCCAAGTAAAAATGTTCTTCGATTTTTTAGCAAACTGCAAAGCCAGGTCATTAAAGACAGAGGCTCCCCACTGCCTTTCGTCATTCACTAGTATGGGACTAGGGCTAGGGTCAGTGGCCTTCATCAGTAGGTGCCCTCCTTTGCCGAGCAGATCTGATCCTGTATGAAGATGATGAAGTGTCTTCTTCGGTTTCAGAGCCTGACGGCTCATGATCTCCCTCCTGAGATCCTGTGTCTCCCACCAGTTCCCGCAGAAACTTGAATTTCGATAAAAAAAGGTGCCATACAAAATACCAACCTAAAAAGGGAGAAACATGAGGAAAAACTATTACACACAATATTATCAATGGAGGACATGCTAGTTAATTGTGTATGTGTCGGGGGTATATTACAAAACAGTATGTATAGTATCAATATATATGTGATTATAAATATATATTTATGTAACAAACACTTATTAATCATTTACTACGGACAGGCACAAGAATAAACTCTGGCATTATATAAGGAAGGCAGAAAGTTTCTGCCTTCATGGAATTTAGAATCCAAGCGTGGTTTATCTACATTAAAATTATGATGACATTATGATATGTAAGTCAAAGTGTTTATTATATTAAAATCAAATTTCTGAGAGCACTTCACTGGGGAAAAAAGAAGATACTTTGCATGTCCTTGGGACAGTCATGTCTCAATGCTAATACTTACTAAAAGCAAGTCTCCTCTGATTGCAATGTGAAACCATTAAATGGCAGGGGTCAACTGCACTTCACTGAGAACTTTTGTCAGAGTGAAGCTATTCATAGTTTCCAGAAATAATACATTTTTAAAGAAAATTAATACATTCTCTTTAATTACATGATGAAAGAACAAAGCCAGACCACTACTATCTGAAGTTCAAGATTTTTAAAAATTGGTATATTTTCATGTCAAAGTCATTACAAAGTCTGAACTCTCAAGAATAAAAATGACTAACCATGTTTTGTTTTTTGCAAGGAGTTTGAAGTTCACTACATTTTAGACGCCCACGAATAAGGATCAATAAAATGAGTACACAGGATAAAACCTCTGAACCCATGACTAGTTGCTCTGAAATGTTAAGCACGTGTTAAAACAAACAAAAGTAACCACTATAACAAAGTTTTCCAGGCTAGTGTGCTTTACTGATGCCTTCTGCTCTAAACTCTCTAGTTTAGTAGAAAAGCAATGGACCATAGCATGTTCTGATGAGTAGCAGTTTATGAAGACAAAATCGAAGCAGCTTTTCTACCCCAGCATTACAGGATCAACATGAATGACCACTTAAGGAAGTTTCTAATTCTACTTGTTTCTTTCTTGCAGTCTCTGAAGCAAAAAGAGAAAAAAGATCAACATAAGCTCCTTGGTATTAAAAGACTAACTTCAGGGGTTTAACCCTATTTCTCAAGGGTTTGCTTTCCCTGAAGCCTGAGCGCTGAATGCTAACTGAACCAAGCCACAAATGTACTTTGGTCAACCAAAAGTGTGAGTAATGCACTTAACTTCATAAAATAGTATTTTCATAATATTCCAAATTAGCACACTCCCGTCTTCACCCACAATTCTCTGTAAAAGTGGGCACAGCGAATTAGCAGAAAGAACTCTGGGGGAGTCAGGAGCCCCAGTTCTGAGAGAAGAATCAGAAAGCTACTGTGGGAACTAAATGAGAAGGGCTCTACAGGGCTGGGGTGCCTGGCACTGAGTAAGCATTTGTAAGGTGTGGGGGTCCCTGGGCAGTGGGATCTGAGGTGCTTCTATTTTGTTAATTTTCTTTTAATTGAGATACAATTCACATTGCAGAAACTTTGCTTTTAAAGTATACAATTCAGTGTTTTTTAGTGTATTCACAAGGCCAGGAAACCATCAACATGATCAAAGCCCAGAACACTTGCATCAACCCCAAAAGAAACCCCATATCCATCCCCATTTCCTCCCCCCCGCCCCTGGCAACCAGTAATCAACCTTTCTGTCTCTACGGATTTGTCCATTCTGAGCATTTTATATCAATGAAATCACTATATGTAGTCTTGGGTCTGGCTTCTTCCACTGACCTATACTTTCAAGGTTCATCGTCCATGTTGTTACAGGTATCACTTCATTCCCTTTTTATCACGGAATAATATTCCGTTGCACCAATACACCACATCTGGTTTAACCATTCAACAGTGAATGGCCATTCGGGTAGCTTCTACTTTGGGGTTGGTATAAAACAGTTTCTGCTTTTTGGCTGCAATGACCATCTGTGTGTAAGTTTTTGTAGACATATTTTCATTTCTCCTGGGTCTATATCTAGGAGTACAACTGTTGGATGAGGTGGAAACTTTATGCTTAACCATTTATGAAACTGCTAAACTGTTTTCCAAAGCAGCTGCGCCACTTCACATCCCCACATTTGGAGCTGTATGAGGCTCCAAATTCTCTACATCCTCACCAAGACTTTTCATTGTCCACCTTTCCCATGACAGTCATCCTAGTGGGTGTAGCACTGTGGCTTTTATTTGCATCTCCCTCGTGATTAAAGATGTTGAGCATCTTTTCACATGTTTATTGGCCAACTTATATATCTTCTTTGGAGAAATTCCTTTGTCCATTTTTTAAATCACATCGTCTTTTTATTGAGTTGTAAGAATTCTTTATTATTCTTGATACTAGACTTTTATTAGATATATGATTTCCAAATATTTCCTTCTACTCTGGGTTGTTTTTTCATTGTCTTGATAATGTTATTTGAAGTACAAATGTTTTTAATTATGGTGAAGCCAAATTTATCATTTTTTTTCTGTAATGAAATCCAACTTACCGATTTTTTTCTTTGGTTGCTTGTACTTTGGGTGTCATATCGTATCTAGGGAACCACTGACTAATCCAAGGTCATGAAGATTTACGATTATGTATTCCTCTAAGGGTTTTAGTTGTAGCTCTTACATTTACATCTGATCTATTTTAGCTAATTTTGGTATGAGAGAGAGATTCAAATTCATTCTGCATGTGGATATCAAGTTGTTCCAAAACCATTTGTTGAAAAGGCTTCTCTTTCCCCATTAAATTGTCTTGATACCTTTGTCAAAAATCAAATGACCTGGGCACCTGGGTGGCTCAGTCAGTTAAGCATCTGCCTTTGGCTCAGGTCATGATCCTGAAGTCCCAGGATCAAGTCCCACATCGGTCTCCCTGCTCAGTGGGAAGTCTGCTTCTCCCTCTGCCCTTCACCCTGCTCATGCTCTTCCTCGTTTGTTTGCTCTCTTTAAACCTTTAAAAATCTTTAAGAAAAATAAAAATAAAAACAAAAACAGTTTTAAAAAAATAATAAAAGGACCATAAATTGATCTATAGTATCTCTATGCCAGTACCACACCATTTTGGTTACAGTAGCTTTGTATTAAGTTTTGAAATTGAGGGGCACCTGAGTGGGTCAGTTGGTTAACTGCCTCCCGCACAGGTCATGATCTCAGGGTCCTGGGATGGATTCCCAAGTCAGGATCCCTGCTCAGCAGGGAGTCTGCTTCTCCCTCTCCCTCTGCCCACCCCCCACTCCTGGTCTCTCTTGCACTCTCTCTCAAATCAATAAAATCTTTTAAAAAGTTTTAAAATTGAGAGTTAAAAGTCTACCATCTTTGTTCTTTTCAAGATCATTTTGACTGTTCTGAGTCCCTTGCATTTCCATGTAAATTTTAGAATTACACTGTTGATTTCTGCAAAAAAGGCAGTGAGAATTTTGATAGGGATTATGCTGAATCTGTCGATTAATGTGGGGACCCTACACAGTTTTTTTTTAATACTTCCCTGTACTTACAAGATTTTTCCACAATACACAAACATGACTCTGATAAATAAAAAAACCAGGAAAAACAAGTCAGAAACTAATAAGTAAATCATGAATATTCTATAAACTTACGTTTTAAATATGCCAATGCCACTAATTGGCCTAAATTATTAAAGCCAGTTGATTTCAACAAATACTAAAGAAAACCGTTAACTCTCAGGTTAGTTTTGATTATCAAAGTCTTGACCTCATAAAGAACAAAGACTCCAACAGTGGCTACAAGTGTAAAGTGACCATAAAGAAAAGTAGGGGAGTGCTCTTTTGACTAAAAAGAGACTATGGTGAAGGGCTGGCATGCTGGAGTCCCACCATAATTAGAGTGCCCCTGCGGTGATGGTTAAGAGAAAGCAAAGTCATCACAGATCGGTATTTCTGAAACAAATAATGCAATATATGTTAAGAAAAAAAAAAAGAAGAAGAAGATAGCAGGAGGGAAAGAATGAAGGGGAGTAAGTCGGAGGGGGAGACGAACCATGAGAGACGATGGACTCTGAAAAACAAACTGAGGGTTCTAGAGGGGAGGGGGTGGGGGGATGGGTTAGCCTGGTGATGGGTATTGAGGAGGGCACGTTCTGCGTGGAGCGCTGGGTGTTGTGCACAAACAATGAATCATGGAACACTACATCAAGAACTAATGATGTACTGTATGGTGATTAACATAACAATAAACAATTAAAAAAAAAGAGAGAGAGAGAAAGCAAAGTCTCCTAGCACAGAAATCTACACAGTAAGGAACTAAGGACAGCTGTGGCAGTCAGTTTGGGAAGGCACAAAAGCATTCAGCTAGATCACAAACTCTTTCTCAACTTTAATGAAACGAAGCCCCCTCTAAATTTTTTTAATCACTGCCAATAACCTATGCAAGGGATTCAATCTCAAATCAAAATTCAGAATGTGGTTGCCAATGCGGTGCTTGAGGTCAGAGCAGTAAGTTATGGCGACTACTACCTCCGTACACACAGCTGAACCACTCCATTTCCCACCTCTCCTTTGTATCCCCCAATCTGGGATAAGAAAACTTGAGAAGCGCGCTCATTTTCCCGATTTGGTCGGGGTGTTCAGATATGCAAGGGTCGGGAGTGGAAGGGGAGCATGTGGTCAGTGACACTGCTTCCCACGAAACATCGTAGACAAGTCCCCTGATGGAGATACAGAATTTGTCTGCTGGGCAGCCAAAAAGGAAAGGACATTCACCGTGCTGGTGTTTTATGGACTAGTGTAAGGACAGGGTGGGAACGCAAAGCTAAAAGATAAATAGTGTTGATAAGAACTGCAGTGGTATTTACTAAACTGAGGGAAGTTCAACAAGCTGTTCTCCAAGTAAAATGACTCAAGTTCTAACAGCTATATTTTTCAGAGACAGATGGCAGAAGGAAGTGGGGAAGGGAGTTTCCATATCACAGTACCTATGATTAGTAAGATCTCATGCTTCTACAGAGAGTATTATTAGTCTGAACAAA